TAGGGTATTTAGATAGTAGTGGATTTTGGTGTAAGTTTAATGGGTTGTGTAATAGTAGTAGTGGGTGAAGCTTTCATTGTTCATTCTGGTTCATACTGGTTCATAACTCTAATTTTTGGGATACACAATTGAAGTTATCGCGACAACCCTAAAAGATATGGAATTTTGGCCAAACAATGTGCAGATTTATCAACTTCTGATACGGTTTTGTATGATAATCATAACGAATCCAATCCAATTCAGTTTTCAAAACTATCAGACGAAAAGCTTGGTGAGTTCTAATTTTTTTTTTTCTTGTCGACGGATAATTTTGTGATGATAAATTTCAGACCTGTTCCGAATTTTTCCTTGAAGAAAATACTTTATTGCCAAACAACAACTGATTATTTTACTTTCAAATTGCTGTATTGCAATGCACAATTACTTTCATTTACTAACTACCTTTTAATTTATATCAATATTATATATAGAGGAACTAAAATCATTTATTAGTCCACCGGTAATATTTATTATTCTACAGTTCTATTTTCGACTCTATCATAATAATACTATTTGTAATAACAACAATTACTCCAATTCTTCTTTCTCAGGCTACGGAGCGTGAAAGGCCCAATTATGCTTCAAGAAGAACTTATTCATCTTCTTCTATTGCTTCCATTTTGAATCAGCAGTAAAGGGATATGAGGTTAATGTTTGTTAAGTTTTTTTGATAACTTGCATGCTTGTTTATTATAGTCGAATCATATCTAACGTGTGCATTATTAATAGTTTATTTGTTGGCGTTTGTTAATTGTTTATTAGCATAGTAAATATAAAATATTTTACTAAATATTTGACAAGCATTTTTTAAATTTTTGTAATAAAGTTTGAAATGAGTTTTTTACATTTCTAATTACTATTTTTCTAAGATATTAGCAAAGTTTTATAAAATTTTTATAAGTTTTATAAGTAATTTAATAAAAAAAAAAATTTGTATTAAAATCTTACGAAGACCGGACCTTTTGAATTCCGATAAATGTTATGTGATCATTCAAAACTCTGCAGAACTGTCGCCATGGATTTGTTATTACGCGGTTTGATGCTTACACATTGTTCTTTTTTCGAACGCTTAGTACTATTATAGATGGAACATATAAAAATTTTTTGTTTATAAGCTAATTTTGTTATTTTATATTTATTTTTAATTAATTAAAAATCCATTATTCAAATTACTGGCTTCGTTACTTCCAATCACTACCACAAATCCAGCAATACAACCAAAACGTTATTCTAATGTGAGTGAAGCCAAAAGATCTGGGTTGATTGATTATATTCAAGTAAGATCAATAGAAAAAAATTTTATAGTAACATTTTTAAATACAAACTTTAATATGGGATTTGTCGACCAAATTTGTGTTTCAATCAAATTTGTATATTTTGATTTATCATCAATAACTCGCATTCTAGTGATTCAATCTTGGTGATTTTTATACCATTCGAATCCTTTCCACGAGAGGATTTGAATGGTATCAAAGGCATCAAGATCGAATCATTAGAACGCGAGTTATCGATGATAGATCAAAATATACAAATTTGATTGAAACACGAATTTGGTTGACAAATCCCATACTATTGTATTTATTTTAAAAGATTTCAATAAAACTTAAAAATTTCTTTAATAAATTATATACAGTCTGACCTCGTTATAATCACTCTTAATATAGTTACAACCTTGTTATAATCACTCTTAATATAGTTACAACCTTGTTATAATTACATTATTTTTTTGGTTTATCTATTATAAAACATAAATTTTGATCTTTATTTAGTCACAACTTTTTATAATCAGGCGGCATCCATAATTTACATTAAACCAGTATTGTTATAGAAATCTTAAAAGATAATATAAAAATAATACTATATGGTATTATCATTAAGATTTCTATTTCTATACAATACAGTACTGGTTTAACATAAATTATGAATGCCATCTTACCAAAATTTTGTTTCCAAACCTGGTGATTATATCAAGGTTAGGCTGTACTGTATTAAACTATATATTTTGTATAAAATTTATTATAAAAATTAAAATTTAATTGGTAAATCATTTCTGAAGAGAACAAAAATTGAAAATCTATGGTTTTCCATCAAAAGCACAAAAAAACTCTTTCACATAAATCTGTAAATCATTAGTAAAATAAGAAAACAACCAAATAAATAAGCAAAGCTACCCAGAAAATAAATAATATATTCACAAGCATAGAGTTTCTTAGGACAAACTAGTCACACTAGATCATGAATGCATTATAGTACCACAAGCAAAGTGCAGAGAAAGCATAAAAACAAAAAAAAACCCATGACATTACCTAGCGCTCTCTTGGAGCCACTCTTCAACATGTCACAACAAAAGTCATACTTACAATCATTTTTTAAAAAACTCTTTGGCACCACAACACCTAACAAAAACTCGATTGACCCAGAAAATTCTCCAGAACCTACTACACAACCACTCCAGATTACACTACCCACTGCAAAATAAAATACTAGTAGCAAAAACCACATATCATACTTTTACCATACCCCATATATTAAACCAAAAAGTGGGCATTCTGGCTTACCTCAGTCTGCAAATCATATAGAATCACATGATTTACAGATGACATCATCACTTCCAGACATCAATACAACAAATCCAAAACAAGTTGGCCCTGATTCTCACACCCCAGACCTAATTGAAATATTCTCATAGCCAGAACAAAAAAACCTGAATCACTCCGGATATACAGTTAGGCAGCAAGCAAAGCCCCACTTCATTAACCAACCATGCAAACAAAACCATCCCTATTATGGAACCAGCACATACTACATATATTAGCACAAAGAAATAAGCTCTTCAATTCAGCCAAGTGAAATAATGACAAAATCATAGAAGCTATCCAAGATAAAGAAAAAATGACAGAATTTTTCCAACACAAGGCCAACTCTCAACCTACCTTTCACAACTTACCTGCAACAATTAACTCTAAATTCAACTATTATAATACTGCTTTCTTCAAATTATTTACATAGGACAAGTAAGCAACACCACAACATCAAAGAAAGTTCAAAGCACTTTTTAATATGGCTTTAGAAAAATAAAAGAGATACCATGAAACTTGCTTTATAAACAAAAACAATAGGAACCAGATTATGCAAAGACTCAAGAAGAAGATTGCCATTGACTATATTACAAATATTGATTTTATTAAAATAAATGCCCATGACATTATCTATAAAGTCTTCTATTGCACAAACTTCGCTTACATCAACCTTCTAATCAGCTTTGAAAATACAAGATGTATCATTAGAGATATTTTGGCAGAAAGACTTCAACCTCTTCCAGCATTAACTAAGAAAATATATACTAACATAATCGAAATATTACTATTTAAATTGCCAATATAAAACTGAAACCACACTAAAGCTATAGTAGCAGTACTCTAAAAAATATACAAGTTTGAAACTCTACCAGTATCCTTCTTTGAAGAACAGCTAATACAACTCTTCAAAGACTCTTCAGCACTACACCCTCTTGTTAAAGACCTATTTTTTATTACTGACCAAGCAGCACTACCTCACCTTACTGAATACCAACATAAACTCATGGTCCTATATAAATTAGACGAAAAAATACCACCTAGTTACTTTAACCTATCTGCACCCAAACCTGCACTTCTCCCAACTTCTCAACAATTATCTCACAACCTGAGAAACTACTTCCCCTGCAACTCTAATAATGCAGAAGAAATTAAGAAATACATTGATATTCTTTACCCCCATTATGGATTCAAACACTTATCTAATGACTATATAGTCCAGAAACCAAAACTTCTAGCTGACCCCAAAACGATAAAAATGCAGAACAACTACAGTTTTTCTATTCAAGAAAAAACATCTGCAAAAAAATTTTTAGCTGAAATAGAGCAACACTACAAATTTATCTTACTTTTACTACCGGAATACATGACAGTTAATCCTATAAACAAACTAACTCTACTAATTGACTATACTCAAATTAGCCAAATACATCTAACTATACCAATTACTTCATTGAAGATTCTTATTAATATCACTAGAGAACTCAGAAAATATTACTACTTTGCACAGATCTCTCAAAGTTGGATCAATATTAAAAATAAAGTTAGAGATAACAACAAACTTATAATCTTACAAAATCTAAAATCACAACTATCACATATCAACCTAACTCTAATTCAACTAATTCCTATACAAGACAAAACAATAGTAACCAAAACAATAGAAAAGATTAAATCACACTTTATCTTGAATATAATCTCTGAATACCTACTTTAACTCCTAGACTTATCTATTTCAGAATAGCCAATTTTTGACAACTATGAACCCACTAATTTCTACAAACCAAATGACAAACAAACCATGAAAGCTTCACCCACTACTACTATTACACAACCCATTAAACTTACACCAAAATCCACTACTATCTAAATACCCTA